CCTGAAAGAGAGATCATAATAGAAATAAAAGGAACTTTTCTGCATTTTAAATATTTTTTTGAAATATTTAATGACTATTACAGTTAATCTCTATGGTCCTTTAGAAAAACTGACTGCTTTCTGTGTTCTCCAGGTATCTGCATTCAAATGTTTTTTTTGAGGACCTGGTTTCTTCCCAAGGATGCCTTTTGTTGGATATATTGTGAACATAGAGGTGTCCTCAGTGACCATTTGGCTTATAAAGCAAAAGAGATGTAAAGTCTTACTTTACAAAATGATTCTCGAAGTCCTACCTTTAGCAGACAATCCCAAATCTCTGTAATCGAGCAGAGGGCACAAAATTGGCTGCATGGTTTTCAAACATTTCTCAGATACTATGGAAGGATGTACACTTAAATACTTGGGGGGGCAATGCTTAGATTCTGCTGGAAAAATCCTATGCAACAGACTAACGGCTGTTTTTAGCACATTCCTCAACCCCATCTCTATTGTTTAAATCTAAACAAACAGCCTTGGCTGTTGTTGGATTTGGTGGGTTTGTTTTTGTTTTTGTTTTGGTTTTTTTTTTTTAATTTGAAAGCCATTTTAATACTCCTTTGAAGAATTCAGCCACATAATACAGCAGGCCTTTTTCCAAAAGAACAATAGTAAATCAATTAAATTTTGCAGTTCAAAATCTGAGTGCTACTATTAACTGTTGTCATTTCCCTGTACTCTGGGGTACAACTGCTCTGGCTCATTGTGAGAGTGCTTTAATCTGCACATGGCAGATTGTGCCCCATATGTTTCTTGTCAAGGTCATCAAATGAGCTAACTCCAAAGGGTGTATCCAGCACTTTTCCCCAATTAATTGATCTTCAGGTGACTTGTTTGAAGTCTGAGTGTGCTATGATTCTTATTGTTAACATTGTTTGTCTTGAAAAACAATAAAAAGGCTGTGAAATAAGTAAACATCTTGTGTGAAGGGCAGCAAAATAAATCAGTAAAATCTTGTAATTATGAAGTCCTTCAGGTATTATGTATACAAAATGGACATTTGCAATGTGCTTGTGAGAGTCCCTCTGGGAAGACAGGCGGCCTTTTTTAATGACTTTATCATTCTGGTTGCAGGTCAAACAATCTGATGTCCAGGAGAGAACAAACATGGCCTCTCATTTCACTTCTGAGCCTTGGCCCAGGACTTCCTGTGTGATCCTGCTCCAATCACTTTGACCTTGTTTGACTCAGGACCACATAAGGTTGTTTTAGATGCAGGATGAGCTGCCTCCTGTGTTTGCACAGTACAGATGCAGTGATGGGGAAATAACTGCTAGCACTTTGAGTTGCTGCTGTAATGACAAGCACAGTTTCAGAAAAGAGGAGGCATTAATTAACCGCAGGTGGGAACAATACAGTAAAAGCCAAAAAAAAATGACCAGTGGAAGATGGCTACACAATTTCTAAATTCTGAAGTGTGAGCCTTTCTGGGTCACAGCCCCATGCCATTTTTTGTGAGCTTTTCTGCTTCTCCCACTAGAGAATCTTTTATTCTTCATCCTAAAGCACTATTTTCCTGTGATTCATATTATTCTGCTTTCATTGAGGCCTTTAAATATTTCATTATTTCCTCCATGGTCACCACAGACAAATAGAAAACTATAATGTAGCAGCCTGAAATATCAATCCTGTATTTAATTGAACTTACTTAATTACAATGTCCTCTTACGGACAGAAAATGGAACATCGTGGAACAAAACAAAGGCCTGAATTACTAGCAATATTTCAACAGTGTCAATGGCAAAAGGGAGAGAGAAATACATTCTCCAGTACTGTGAAATTCCAAAATATGAAGCCAGGCAAACTTTCTTTTTAGAAAATGTTAATATGTCTGCTTAGCTCTGGAAGGACATGTGAGCTGAAAAAGCCCCATTCCACTTTTGCTACTTTTTCTTTGAAGACAAAGTGCATACTCCTTAGGGAAATTACATTTATAAATATAACCAAACCTACTTCCTGTAGAAAAATAAATACATAGCAACACAGCTTTTAATTTGCTTGAACTTCCAAATGCCCTATTACCTTGAAAACATAGACACTTAGGCATCAATCTGTTCTAGTCATACCAATTAATTCAGGACACAGCTGGAGCATAAGGGTTGTTGGAAAACAACCCAAGCATGATTGTATGGATCGATGTTCTCACCTGCATGATCATATCTGGGTTTCTGTGAAGGAAGGACACAGGTACAGCTGCCTTCAACAGCCTAACCCTGCTATGACCCTCTCCACGAAGGTCCTCCCCTAATCATAATACAGCTGTACTGCTAGCTACCATCACAGCCACTTGCCTGGCCTAGTCCAGAGGGGAGAGTCTCCAATCAAAGCCCTCCTGTTAAAGGGCATCAGCAGCTGAGCAAATCTGTGCATGTCCAGGTTTAAAGCATATCAAAGGAAAAGCCCGAAACCTAACAAACCTGATTTAGAAATAGCAAAGAGCCAGAGTGCTCTTGCCTTTTCCCACAAAACCCTTTCTTTTCTCTGTGCTTGGTCTCTCCATATCTCTCACCTATGTAACAGTCTTGGTTGTCAGCAGAGGTAGATCAATGGAGCTGTAACCCATGCCTGATGTTATCCACTCCCAAACTGCTCCTTATCTGGACTTTCTTTAGTGCTCTTTTCTATGTTAGCTCAGCAAACACTAACAAGAGTGTCAAGTAGAGAGCAGCTCTCATTTCTGAACTGAGTAGCCAACAAATGCCCTGACCGAACACCTCAGATTTAAACACTTCTCTTGGAAAAATTTAGCTTTAGTAAGTCATCAAAGATTAATAGAAAGGAAGGCAGAATTCTCAGCAGTGGAGTAAGGGAAGAAGCGAGCACCTACAGAGAGGCTAAACACTAACATGCACTTCTCCCCCCTCTTCTGGTTCAAAGGCCAAGCAGAGAGACCTCAAGAGACTGGCAAGGAAAAGAAGCTGCTCAACTGTAAATAGTTAGGAAGTGGGTGTTTAGGCAATGTGGTCAGTTAAATCTTCTAGGTCTGGAGACGCTCCCACAAAAGTCCAATGCCTTCCCCTGCAACTTACTCTAGCAGCTAATTCCATTTAGGAAGGAGGTGAGAACAATCCTGTAACAACATCACACTAATCAGGGTTAGAGATGTGCAATAAACTTATATCTGGCTCTGCCAGGATGAGGAGTATGTGGGGAGTAATTAGATGGTAAGAGTATCTGCTAGGATTGGAATTGCAGAGAACAAACTTCAGGTAAGCAATTTCCTTCTTTCTTAGATTCTTGGGTTTTATTGAGCAAAAATCTTTCAGAGTGTCTCTGGAAGAAACACATGACATATGTTGACATGGAAAAAATATGCCATGAATCTGAATAACTGAGCCTTGCCCATGTGTTGCAGAGGACTAATGCCCACTTTTGTGGGGTCAGCCTCTTCCCTACATGCTTGGCATTCACTTTTTCTCTTGAGATCTCTCAGCCTTGTCAGCTTGCTTGGTCTACAGCTTTCACAGCCTATCATTTGTGCTTCCCAGTAATGCTTTCTGAAGTCTTTGCTTCCTGGTGGTGTTTTTTTCAATGTATGTTAGTTCAGCTATCAGGCCATAGAACAAGATCCTCAAGAGTGACAATTCATTGCATGCTGTATTTCCAGCCAAGAGAGCAAGAGACTAGTAGAAACCAAGAGCTGCCTTGCAGGGCCTCTGAGCAAATTTAACACAAGTCATTGTGTCTGGGCTTCTCAAAAAGCAGATGAAACAATAAAATTGCCCGTGGGGGCTGTTACGCTCTTCACACCCTGTCCATGTAGACATCTGAAGTATGTTTACCCAGATTCGTGCCCTCAGGTCTTGCTTACATACAGGTTCATCCAGAATTCACATGCTCTGCTGTTGTGAAAGTAAGACCATTTTAAATGACACAATGCTTTAAGAAATAGTTGGTAGCATGCTTGATTGTTACTAGACTTATTTATTTATTTATTTACATTGATGTTGCAGTTTACTTTTAGAGAGGCTAAATTAGAAAGCTGTGCTGTACTCAGGCAGACACTGGTAACTGTGACATTCAACATCATGTCAGAATAATTGTCTAGCATGACAAATGTGGTGAATGAGAAATGAGAGGATGCTGTACAATCAGACTTCTGTGAAACCAAGGTGGGTAGATAGTTGACTGTAACTATTTGTACCTGCTTCTGTTTCATTCCTTTTTTTTTTTTTTTGTAAGTACAAAGCATACATTGCTTATTCTAAAACTTAATCTTAGGAAAAGGAGAGAGAAAAAAAGCATTATTTTCTTTTAACTTGAAAATCTGAAGGAAAAATTTCCTCTGAAAGCCAGCTGGCATTGGTGCCAGGCCTCACTGGGCTAACAGATTCTGCTGCTGTAGAAAAAAGAGGGTCCACATGTTCATGCACTGAGAACTGATCAGATGGCAGCAGACAAAATTGGTTTTCCACACAGACAAGTGGATGTGGCTTCAGAAGGAGGAAGATTTTCAAGCCAGGGAATTCCAGGGATATCCTCAGTACAATCAGACTGAGCCTAAAAGCGTTGCCTTTCTGTTTCTGCTGGTGGTGCAGTGGCAGTGAGCTCCAAGCTGTGAGAAGCATAGCTGGGTTCAGTATTCAACACCCTCACTACACTGAGGTATTGGGGTTTCTGATCTTCCAGCAACTCAGGGAGCCAGCTCATAACTGGAACAGTTGCAAGACAGCAGTAAATTGGCTTCACCTCTTGTCTTTGTTTTGGGAAATTACAGCTCTGTCATGAACTGCAGTGAGACCCTCTGTAAGGGAACAAAGCAGACAAACTGCCCAAGTAAGTGCTTGTTTAGTGATTTCAAATGTTGTATTTTATCAGTACTTTATCAGTACTTATGTCTGTTGGTTAAGAAACCAAAGGTGTTGCCCACAATGTTAGGACTTGCAAAGAGGGCATTGAGCAAAAAAACCCCACCCCATCGTAAGTTTAAATAGAAAACCCAAATAACAGATACTGTTTTTAATAGTAAACCAAATTTAGTATGTTGGTTCTTTCCCTCCAATAGCAAACATAAGTGTCAAACATACTGTCTGTAGCTGACTCTTCAGATTAATGGAGAGTAATTAACTTCTGCCCCTCATCTAGAACCAGTTTACTATAGCTTTTAGATTAATTTTTCTTTCAGTAGGATGTTGAACACTTATCACCAAAGCTGCTTACCCATTTGGGCATCTTTCCTGCTTGTGGGTCATGATGGTGAAACTGCAGAACCAGCACTGTTACCACCACAGACAGACCAACGATGACCATGATGCTAGCAAAATACTGAGCTGCAAGTAAAAGGAGGACTTGGTTAGGAGGGAAAAAACAAAACAAAAGGCAAAAAATATTCCGTGGCCATGCCTCGAGATCTACATATGTGAAATGCTACATCACATCCAAACATCCTCTTTTCTGGTCTTCCACATTGGAATATTTGAGGCCTTTGAGGTTTTCAGTGTATCTGTTCAGCTCCATCCTCTCCAGCGAAGGAAGGGGTAGAACCAATGAAAGGCATAAACTGCTTGGGTTTTGTTCCCAGAGAGGAATGTAGGACCCCTGCTAAGGACCAGCTCCCTGCTTGCTGGCAGGACAGCAAGAAGCTGAGATGGCCAGACCCACTGAACACTAGCATTCCCAGTCCTAGGCGCCCTGTGCTGCTGGAGTGAAATGTTGTCCTCATGGTGACACTTGCCCCCCTCAGAAAGTGTCTTTAAACCCCTTCCCTCACCCCACCACTGCTCACAAGGGGCTGAATGTATTTTTCAGCACCATCCTCAGCCCTGAAGACAACTTCTTTTGGTTCCTATGAAAGCACGATACACCCTTGCTGAGTGCTAAATCTAAGCCTGCCATGCAGGAAAGAAATCAAGATGTCGAAAGCCAGAACTGAGACTTGAAACTGTATCTCCTAAGTGGCAGTACAGATTCCTCATGCCAGGAGTGAGGTTGATGTACTGGAGTGTAAAGTGGAATTACCCATAGGGCTAATGACATTTGAAGTACGCTGTGGCAAAATACCAAGGAGCATCACCGTTAGCTGATATGATGGGGTGATGTGGGACAGCACATGACTGTCCCAGACTGCAGCCTCCTCTCACCCCCAGCCCTGCCTCCTGCAGCTTGCAGGAAAAGTGAAAAATTCAATACAAGCCCCAAGGCAAGTTTTGGTCCAGGTCCCTTTCTTAATACTAGTTTCCACTGCCTCAGCAGCAAAAAGCTTGTTCATAATAATGAGGTTGTCAGGCCTTCCAGAAACGAATGCTTCAAGAGGCGGGCATGGCTTTATGTGGCCAAATGAATCATGCAACTAGATTAGAAGAACATTCCCAAGGGTGAGGTGAATTGAAAGGTCTCTGTTGCACTTACTCATGACAGAACAGAGACAACAGCAAGGCAGAAGCAGAGTAAACCAGGAACTCATGTTTCAGGAAAGCTGGCTGATCTGATTCCAGTATGCCCCATGTAACAGAAACACAGCAGTGTTGAAATCACTGGTTTAATTACTGCTGTAAGTCACTAAACTTCTGTAAATTCTATGATTCCACCAGACTTCAAAGGTCTGATTTTACAAAGATGCTCAGCCCCTCTCATTTAAACTGCAGAAGTGAATTGTTCAGCAACTCTCACTAAGCGTCTTTCTGTATCCTACTTAAGAGCTCCTAGTTACTAGATTGTCCCTGGTACAGATGGGTCAGCTTGGAGGCTGTAATAAATTACTTCACCATGGGCAGTATCAGGAGCAGCAACCCCAGATTAGAGTGCATTTGAAAGAGCAAGGACCTGGTTGCTGTATGGCAGCTGCTCTGAGGCACAGCTGTGAGGCGACCAACCCCTTCTGTCATGGGGATCTGGCTCATTTGCACTCTCTGCCCTGGACAGCTGCCACAGGCCAGGAAAAGGGACCGAAAGATCTGTGTTTGGAGCCCCTCAATATCCATGACTTACACAGTGACATTCCCCAGGGATATCGAGGTCTGCACTGGTCAGCGCTAGATGCTCTCCATGAGATTTCAAACCTGCATGCTGCTTTCTTCAGCAGTTGTGTGTAAACAGAAAAGCTGTTTTGGATGCTCGATTGATCTCTTCCAAGTAGTATGAAGTATTTGCACTTCTACAATTGATTTTCTTACCTTTCTTTGCCAAAAGAGGCATGATGTAACACACTACCTGGACAGCTGTTTTAACATCTGGGAGTTCTCAGCTTCTGTCTCAGCACTGTCAGAAGATGATCAGGTGCTGTTGTCATAATAAATGCGGATCTAATACAACCACAGATAGCCAGGAAGTCTTTTTAAAAAACACAGTGTCAACAGCTATTTGTTCTTGCAAGCATACTTCTGACATCACCTATATCGAAAGGATGGTAAAGACTTGCAGTTCGAGACTTGAGGCGCTTCCAGTACCATTTTTGGACCTTCTGTGCCATTACCTGATGTTAAAGAAGCACCTTTGGATTATTTTAAAAATGTTTTGGTAGATCTGCTGCTTGAGTGGAACTTAAAGGACTGATTACGAGCAGGGCAAATAAAACATAAATCCTAAAAGGACCAACATGATTCCAGATGGATGCTTTGCCTTGTTGGTTTTATCACTGAACAGTGAGTGATAAAGCAGTATATTATCCAGATTTGTTAGTGTAGTTAATCATAGGAAAGGCAGAGCTTCTCCATTGTGACCAATTACAGTCTTGCTGTTCCTATGAAACAGCAGGGGAAGGAGGAGAGTATTGTGCTCAGGTATTCGCAGTGATCACTTTGGATACCTCCCACTGGTGTTCCTGTTTGTATTCCTTTTTTGCAGGAAAGGTCAGGTTTTGCATGTGAAATGACAGACTGGTTTAGAGCTACTCTAAGTCAGGTCATTTCCATCATTCAGTGCTGAGTGCTTTCTGCTTCTCTCAGAAAATGGGAGAAATGTCCCAGAACATGGACAGAATGAGATATTCACTGCTCCTCCTTCTGGAAATGGTCCAGGTTAATGATCTGAAGCCTGTGGAGAATGCAAGAAACTTCAGACACCAGCAGAGGGGCTTCCAACCACCGTTCTTGTTTTCTCCTACGGCAGGGACTGGGGCTGGTGCTGGGCAGATGCTGTTGCAGTTTACAGCAGGTGTCGGCAGAGTTTCTGAGACCAGGGAAACCAAAAGTAGAGGAGAGAATCCCTTGCTGGCTGATTTACTGTTGTACACAGACAGCAAAGAAACACAGAAGAGGATGTAATCAGGAAATTTTCCACCATTGTCGAGATTTGCCGTAGTTGGGACATTTTGTGCTGTCCATTAGCTCTCATTGACAGAGGAAAGCAAAGAGCATCATCTCAGTCCAGCTGGTCCCCATAAACATGAATTGTCTTAAAACAGTGAGAGAATTTAGGATTGGATGCTGTGTCTACCTTTTGGTTATGGCACTTGTAGAGGCCCCAGGGGCAGTGTTTTCACAGTGATTTCAAACTCTTCTCCTTCCACATGCTTTTCAAGAATAGAACTAGGTGTGTGGAAAGTTAAACAGTTATCTTTTTCTTTTTTAATAAAGAAAAAGCATCCAAGTCTCATGGTTTTGAAAAAACCACCATTGATCACGGGGCATAAAACATAAGAGCTGCTGTGAATGAGAATTTCTGTTTCAGGGAAGAGGCTGAGCAGGGTCCTGGCACCAGCGAGGTACTAAGCAGCACCGTGAAAGGGAGAGAGGAAAAGCAATCCACAAAATCAAAAAAAAGACAGAGTAAAATGAAGTGGCAGCAGCTGAGAACATACAGGCAGACAACAGAAAATGTAACAGGAAATTAATCTCATTTTCTCTCTCTAGTCAGAACCACTAATGCCTTATGATCATAATTTAAAAGCAAAGCACCACATTGCTTCCTTGTTTTAGTAATTTCCAGCCTTGTTTGCTGTATGACTAACTACAAGAAATTACCCCAAGCATCTGCTGCAAACACACTTATTCGCAGCGTAAAACCTTCCTTCTTACTGTAATAACATAGGCATGATAAAGAATAGCAAGGAGAGAAAACCTAAGCAGCAAGTGGGGAGCCCTAAGCAGCAAGTAAGAGTTGTGGTTTTTAAAGAAGCAAGAAAAGAAGCTCAGCAAAAGATGACAGAGAAAAATGTAGTTTTGTTACCTGGAGGTGAAGATAATTGCATTTTAATTGTGCACTATTTGATATGTCCAGCCAAGGTGTCAAGCACCACATTGATGTTAATCACAGGAAATGACAGTTCCTCATATTCATGAACCATGTTCCCTGTTCAAACACTCTCTGCACGTGTCAGCTTTCAGGTGTTCCACCTGAACAGTTTCTGCTATAAAACTCCTTTTAGAGCAAAATACAGATTCTTGATCCAAACCCAATGGTGTTACTTTTGAGAGAACTGGAAGGAAATAATGATTTGCAACACTTTGGAGTTATTTGGGCACAGAAAATCAGAAACTATTAAGTATTTGTCATGTGCAAGGGGATGCCTTGAATTTACAGGTGTAAAAACTGTTTATGGAAGAAAAATATCCTCTGACTGGTTTGAACATTTCATTTCAAGATTTGGCTTTTGGGCAGAAGCATGGCTTATCTGCTTTGACAAAGTAATACTTCCTCAGAGCGCTGGCTGGAGTGCAGGGAGAAGAGCCAAGTCAGAGCTTATTGCAGCTTTAGTCTCAAGCTGAAATCATCCAGCTCTTACCTGTTTCTCTGTGGGACTATACTTTCTGTGCCACCTGGGGCCTGAACTCAAAGACTACAGTGGCTTTGGACTAATGTGAGTATGAAGAGCTGGGTGGAGTTTTCAAAGTAAGCATTTTAGGGTCTGTCTCTTTGCAGCAGTGGGACTGCAGCACAGTAGACCAGAGGTGAATGCAAGGTGAATGTGAGTGGGGGAGGAGGGAACCCACAGCTTGTGACACACTGCAAGGTGGAATAAAAGGTGAACCTGTTGCTTCCTAGGGCTGGGGGCTTAATGGTGTTGCCTTAAAAACAAAACATCTGTTGCTGGAAGAACCTGGGATTACAGTATGAGAGATGGAAAAGTGGGGACAGCTACAAACTTGTCAGTGCAATGTGGCCTGGAATTTTTTTGCCGTCTGGAGGTGATATTGCAGGCAGGGAGAAAGAAGAGTCAGGAAGCTGTGCTGGTGATGTTCATAACTGTGTTGCTCTCAGTTTTCCATAGCAATGGTTTTTGGCCATGTGTGACTCTAACATGGGCCCTGGATTGATCTGTCTTTCTGAAAAATTGGCTGGTTTTGGCAGTAACTAAACATTACATTAGGAGCTGGATTTTTTTAAGTCTGTG